GGAAGACCCAATGCAGAACCGCACTAATACCCCAAAGAAATCATGAAATACTTTGTAATGCTATCATCAATATTTGACTGAAACGAAGAAAACGCAATCTATGTTCAAGAAACAATTGTCACAACAAACAATCAATCTCTCCAAACAAATATGCCATCAGTTTTACTATGACATGCTGGGGCGGACCCATATTGTMTGCTGTAATAAATAGAACTTTTGAATTAAGCCCGTTGATCGTCAGTTCAATACATGGCATGAAAATACATGGCCAAAATCAGTAGTGAGATTTGAGTCAGTTTTTTTTCTCTTGTAAACACCGAAGAAAACTAAGCCGCAAGTCTAAGCTATGAACCGGCTTTGTCATCATTTGATTGTGGCATCATTTCTATGATTATCATTTATAATTGCATTTAACTGATCAGTAAATTAACGATTTTCTGTTTTAAGTTGAGAGTAAATAACAGTTTTTTGTCAACAGATCTCATTTGAAGGAATTCGGGGAAGTAGTTGGCAAGGCGATATTGCTATTGACGATGTGTCCATCACTAATTGCGGTAAGACAAGTCAACATCTGTTACCACTAAATAATAAAAGTCTAATGACATATTTCCTTTCAGCTGGTCCACCACCAACTCAGCCTCCAACTCCACCACCAACCCAGCCTCCGACACCTCCACCTCCAACGCAGCCCCCGACTCCACCACCACGTAAGTGATGCAAAAAGTGATGATCAGCCGGTTGATCAATTTAATATATTCTTGCTAATCTAGTTTGATGCCTCCTCTTGGCCTATATATTAAATCAAGGCAATAGTTTGTGTTTAGTTTCACAGTATCACAAAAACTTCAATAAATTCATCAGGGTTACTAAAATCTTACAATATTTCCATCTTATTTTTTTTTTTCAGCAACGAGGCCACCAGCAGGTACTTTAACTAATTCTCATATTTTCAAGCAAATTTTTGAAATTCTCTTTAAAATTAATCATTGCCTTATTTTTTATGTTTGTTATTCGTCTGAAAGGTTTCAAATGCGACTTTGAAAAGAGTTGTGGGTTTATTCAACGAAAAGATGACAAATTTGATTGGACAAGAAGAAAAGGTCGCACACCCTCGAGTCAAACAGGACCTGATACTGACCATACTAGCAAAAATGGTAGGTAGTGACCTTATCAGGAGACCCTAGACTTGTAACGATCATCACGTTTTGACTTGCGCAGTGGTCTTTTCAACAGTTTCTTGCGCCATTTTCAAAATTCCYTGCGCTATTTGTCTTTGCATTGAAGCGATACGACGAGCGAGAGAGCATCTGTGCAATGTTAGGGACTTTCCTTCATAACTAAAGCTAAATTAATAAGGATAATTATCCAAAGACATCTAACATTGCAARCCCGCTGGTCGGCTTACTTTGATACAAAGCTACCTTTCGAGTTTTGGGAACTCTGAAGGGGACTATGTTTTGAGCATGAARGGAAACTGTGAATCAATATGTCAAGAAAGCCATGTGTGGTGGAATATCATCTTTTATTCGAAGTATGTTAATATTTCTCTTACTTTCAAACATCTTTAATAGGTTATTACATGTACATCGAGACATCTTCTCCAAGAAGAGATGGCGACAATGCTGTCATTGAGACATCGGTCAGTGTAGGAAGTAACACTTGTTTGACATTCTTCTATCACATGTATGGATTCCATATTGGTACACTTAACGTTCGTCTTGGTAAGTCAGTGGTGTTTACAAAGACTGGACCACAAGGAAACAAATGGATCAAGGCAGAAGTTAAGCTCGGGCAGTCTGGTACACAAATGGTTAGTAAATCACTCATCACCAAGATTAAAACCTAATGATTTCAGTATCAATGGTTATAATAACGATATGGCTATATTTCAGCTGTCATTTGAGGGCATACGTGCAAAAGGGTATTCYGGCGATATTGCGATCGATGATATTTCTGTAGGAACTTGCGGCAGCGGTGAGTTTTTACATAGTTATATTACAACAAGTCAACCAGCTAACTTTTTAGTCTTTCTTTCCATTTAATAACAGTTATTCCACCAACACAGCCACCAACTCAGGGACCTCCTCCACCTCCWGGTAGGTAATATATCAAACACTGCGGAACACGTGATTTGCTAGTCTAGGTTATCAACTGATRAGTGATGCGACTGTGAGTGGAAGGAGGAAAAAATGGACGACATTTTTGGACTTACACAAGTAGTTTAATATCCCTGCAGATAGTAAACATCAATATTAATTCATGATATTTCAATCATTGCTTCACATCTGCACGATATGGCGAGACATTTCTCCTGAAAATGCTTCATAACCAATAAGTTACATTTCAGTATGTTTATAAATATGGATATTATAGCTTTTGTGGATAATATTCTAAGGCATYCATAATTCATGATATCGTGATAGCCCCCATCCAATAATTGCTTCATATCTGCAGGATCGTGTGGTACTCGTCCTCATACCCGTATTGTAGGAGGCACAGCAGCCAAACATGGTGACTGGCCTTGGCAGGTACAGCTTCGTACGACTTCTGGCTTCCCGTACTGTGGYGGATCGCTTATTCATCCCCAATGGATCCTGACAGCAACTCACTGTGTCAGTAGAAAGCAACCAAGTTCCATCGTGATCAGGTGTGGAATTTTTTGTGTGTTCAAAATATTTCTCATTTTAAGGCTCGTTTTTTTTGCTATTTCGTTGATATACAATTTGTTCGAGATTCTCGTAATGACTTAACGTTTGAAGATTTTCTGATTTTTGTATTTTATTCAAACTTACATTGATTTTGATTGTTGTCAAGATTGGGAGCTCATCGACGTGTCAATACAGTTGGTACCGAACAAGACATTAGAGTTTCTAAAGTCATCACTCACCCCAGTTATCACAAACCAACGACGTACTCTCATGACATTGCTCTACTAAAACTGGAAAAACCAGCCCTGCTAAACAAGTAAGTGAATAAAGACTGACAAATATTCAGTSAGTGAAGGGATAACATGGATGATTTAATACACGATTAGAATACGAAAATAGGCAAGTTTGCATAGACTACATTCGATGTCGTTTCTTAAAAAAGGCGTGTTAAGACACTGCAAAAAGCATTTCTCRAAATAAAAATATATAATTCGTYTGTTTTTATTTTACAGGMATGTCAACCTCGTTTGTCTTCCCGATAATGTCCCWGCGCCCACAGACGGCAAGCACTGCTGGATCACAGGCTGGGGACGTTTGTCATCAGGAGGTGCCACACCAGACTACCTTCAACAAGTATCCGTGCCAATTGCTAGCCGCGCTCGATGTGATAAATCGTACCCTGGTAAGATCCATGATTCTATGATCTGCGCAGGTCTTGACCAGGGAGGTAAAGATTCGTGTCAGGGTGATTCAGGTGGACCAATGGTATGTGAGACGGGTGGTAGGTTCTACGTTCATGGGGCCACCAGTTGGGGCTACGGTTGTGCTTCTCCTGGTAAATTTGGTGTTTATGCCAAGGTGAAATATCTCTTACCATGGATCAAGAGTGAAATGGCCAAAAACTAAGGAAAAACTCGTCTAAATAGACACTGATAATTGTAGATGATTTAGTTCATGATTAAAATGCATTGAAAAAAGTGTTTAACTTTTTATCATTGATTTCTATATAAAAATTATCCTGTTCGCAACGACAGAATGTGAAATATGTTTCCATTTAACTTTTGTGTTCACTCTTTTGAACTCTAATAAACGCGCAAAAGCTGGTTCTTACTTGGAAATAAACATAGGCACGAGAACAAAATAAAAAGTCAAAGGAACGAAGTCAAGCGTGCGGCATAAGACATGGGCATAAGCCATGAAAGACCAATAACAAGCTAATTAAAAACACTAAAAGACAAAAAAAGAAAACAACCTTCTTATGTCTTTTAATCCCAAAAGCTATTGTTTGTTACCTCTAATGCTTACAGTCTAGTGAAAATCACGCTTTAAGGTACCGTTTTCTGTATGACAAACGAAAATATAAAAAAAAATCTTTTACATTCCATCGTGACGCATTCTTCCGCCCTCACTTGATTATATGTATTCAATTGGCCAATCACAAGCCGGCATTCCTCTGAATAACAAAGTGCCTTGTACAGTTTACCTTTGACTCCAAGTTTGATGTGTCTTGGTGGTGTCTCGATATTTCAAGACTTACAGCTGAAAGTCTGGTAAGAGAACATAACTGTACACAAATGCCATTTTAATAAATGTGTATAAAAGGTGTATATAGAGTGAAATACTGACGTCGGAGTCCGAACGAGAAGTATTTCTTGTAGTAAACGGAATTACAGAGTTATTTCAGTTACAAATAAACCTCGCTAATGATAAAAATGCTAATTTTAATTCATGTACATTTCATTCTAAAAGATATTATAAATACCTACATTTAGATTACAATATTTTACACACTGACTGATAATCTCTATAACAAGATTTAATCAGCCGTCACCACTGCCTYGCTTCCGTAGAACATGAGAACGAGGTCGATAGGGCTCAGTTATTTTTACTACACACATTTTTTACAATATTCTATACTTGACTACAAAAATATTCAATATTTCCCATAATTATTTCAGTAAGAAACTARCATTTGATTCGATCATTAATAATCAATGTTTTTACGACATTTCTAGAAGATGTTAGAGCTTTTCAACACAAAATTTGTTTCATAAATTTGACTAAATAAAAAACAACACTGCGATTATTATAGAGTTCCTATAATCGATTGTTCAGTGACATTTGTCATGAAGTTTCACATAAAAATKATGAGTACAGCTCGAATTCCTATTAAAACTATACAGGTGTTTAAATAACATGTGATATAAAATGCTGTTCTAATGCGTCTTGCTAATTGATACTTCTCACCATACAAAAGTGTCCATATCGAAGTGACATTCAAGATGGCCGTAAAAAAATGAAATAGCAACAGCAAMAATTAATTCTTATYCTCCAACGGTACCCTGTAAATTTCCTTTTCTTTCTTTCTAAGGTGTCGAGGAGCGATTCTCTGCTCGTAGCGTAATTGTATGATCATATAATATYCTAAACGAACGATTGATAAGGTGATATCTGAACCTCGTTACTATTAAGGTGTTCGTGTGARCGACCTTGTCTCATCACKATCATAGGTTCTCGTCGAGGTAGCGTATTTTGATACATCGGCTCGTTATATCTTTCATCTGCATACTCGAGAGGCGGTGGGATACGGGCAGGTAATGTCCGGTACCGGTTGTCGTATTCATCATTACTATGATACGATGGTGCAGGGGATATGGGTGATGTAGGGCTGTCGGATGATGTGCTATGGTCCGGGTATTTGTGGGGTGGTATGACTAAGTTTGGTGGCCTGTTTCGTCTTCTCGATTGATCCTTAGGAAGGTAATCTGGTTTGGGAGGGTAACGAGGCTTTGGTCCACGTGGATAGCGACCAGGAGTGCGTTGGTCGCCGTTACTTGACGACGACACCTCCGAGCTGACGTCACCCTCGTGCCCACTAGGACTATGGGATACATTTTGATATATTTCGCTTGGTTTTGGATAAGCGCGTGGGTGTGGCATCGTAGCGTAGGAATAGCCGTCCATCCTGGGCTTCCTGTGGTACGATGGCTCGAAGTGTTCTCTACTACCTCGATGTGGTTGTCTGAGTTCTTCACGACTTCGATAAGGCGGACGTTGATCAAGTTGATTCTGACTTCCGTAACCTCGATGTTTTCGAACATCTACATCTTCATCACTATCDTATGGTATATGTCGCGTCATTGCACTTTTTGGTCGTCCAAGTGACCTGGTTTTTTTGGCCTCGTATTCGGGAGACATGAATGACGTCACGGACTCCCCAGGAAGATCGTCATAACAGTGGCCTTCGTCTTCTGGGTGACTTTCATATGCTGGGGGAGGGGGGACTGGGAAGTCTTTGCCTTCCAAYGAAGAAAATGATTTAAAACGTGGTTTTTGGAAATCATCAGGAAGAGGYACAGCTTCGTTCATGTATTCGTCGTACTTTGCCTTCGCAGCATCGTCTTGGTTATCGTAMGTGGTCCTCCATGATTGGTGCTTTGGATCGTGTGCGTAGTGATCCACAAATGACAGTTTATTGGGGTCTTTATCAAGATAGTTTTCTCCTCCCGATGCTCCATCTATTTCTGACATCCCATCTTTACTTCCGAGACTACTTACTTCAGGTAACTCTTCGTTAGGGTCTCGATACGCACTGAAATGAAATACACATAATAATGATCWAAGTTATCATCACCAATTAATCGAACGGATATATCTCAAATAGTGCCTGGACTCGATACTTACATGTGAAGTCCTGGTAACGAGCCTGTTTGTCGATTGTCCTTTAATTCTAAAGTATTACGATTGCTACTTCCTGTCGTGCTCAACCGTTCTGCCATGTTTTCTGCAAAAGAGAGATGAGATTACTAGACTATTTCATCAGTGATATCCACTWCAGCCTATGTATGTCTTTGTTATATCAAAAAAAAAGAAGGAAAGAAAGAAAGAGATACATATATTGTATAAAATCATAAGGCAACCAAAGAAACGTTTAGTAAAAGTTGTCGAAGRTACCTTTTCGTCTCCGCACACAAATAAATGCAATGCTAATAAGAACAATGACCAGTATTACAGCAAGAACAGCAGTGACAGAAATGAACCATGTTTCGTGATGTAATGGCAGCGGAGGGGGAATCACACCATCACCTGCAACAATCGATAAATGAAACTATCAAAGACTGACTAGAATAGAAAAAAAACCCACACAATTGTTGAATTAATCGACAATGGAAAATGACGAATTAAGTTAGTACATTGAAACAAATAGAAAATGGAATTGAAAGAATGACCAACAATGAGTAGATTTATGAAAATTTAACGAATGGATGAAAAGATGGATGGAWGAAACATCGAATARAAGTAACGAAGGATGTTAACGTACCTGTAAACGTGACATCAGAGGGWGGGGACGGTGGAGATTTACCGATCTTATTCCAGGCAATGATACGGAACTGATAGGATGTTYKTGGCTTTAGATTACCAACAGTACACATCACAAACGTTTTGTTAGTTTGTAATTTTTCATATGGAATAGTCAAGTGGGTTTTGAAATCGCTTTGACCTGTAATTAGCAATAGTTYATAAGACCAGATGCAATCTCTGCATATGTAGTAACTTACAGGGGATACTTATGCCCTATGCTCTACAATGGTATAAATACAGTTCGAACTATTTCCAGGTATTGACCGGCACTTACCAGGAATTCTCCATTGGATTTCAAACTTGGTAAATGGTACATTTCCGCTATGGCTATTTCTCCAGGAAAGGATGGCAGAGTGACTTGCTGCTCGAACCAAAGGCTTTCCAGGTGTTCCTGGCAATACTGGAAAACAAAGGTACGTTAAAGATGYTTTACACATGTGAAGACAAAACAGYGAGRATAATGTGMACTAACCCGAAGGKCCTTTAGTTCTTGTAATGAACGATGAAGAAGGTCCATAACTAATGTTGTTCTTTATCCTGATTTCAAACGTGTATTCAGTGAGCATGGCCAGTCCGGTTAAGACATACGATGTCTTGTCTGGTTCGACTAWCACATCTGGTTTGATGGAGCTAGTTTTCTTGTAGTATTTGATTTCATAGTGCTCCAGAACYCCGTTCGGTTCACATGGCTTTCTCCACGATAGATGCACWCGATCATTGTACACTAAATCAGATTCGAACTTTCTGACTGGTCCAGGAACTAAAAAACGAAAAACCAGAACATATAATGAGCGTCGTTGACAGTTGTAATGATGCTGATGGCAATAACTATGARCACTGCAACAAAGAAATAACATCAAAACCTACTTACCATCAGGTTTAGTCGTAACTCTAATATCTTTACTGCTGGGGCTAACGCCCTTAGAGTTGTACGCACGTATCCATATCTTGTACTCAACGTATTTACGTAGGTAACGTAGGGTGACGTTAGTCTTATGTCTGTCTACATCTATCAAGCTTGGATCTTTACTCAATTCACAATCATCGATGACCGATCGACGACGGCGCCGAGATCTTAATTCGCCTGTGAAATAAACCTAAGAAGAATAACAAACACAATCGTTGTAGTAATTCTTAGTTATGACAACGAATATAAGACAGATAAACTACCTTAAATCCTTGGAGACGGCCGTTAATGGACGGTGCTGGCGGCTTCCAATTTACTACTATCGTTGTCTTGGTAACAGGACCTTCCTTAACTTCAGTTGGTCCTTTTCCTGGGGCTGAAATAGTGAAGAATAAAGTGCATCACAATCATAATCGTAAGCATCCACTTTTTTACGATTCTGATTATCAAGACAACAAAGTGAACGGTGCACCAAAACTGGTTTCACAATCGTAAGAGAACCATCGAGAATACTGTATCTTACCTAGCTCTCCAGTGGTCCCAAGCAATTCAGGTGTAAACCTTCCTGTTCCTTTATCACTAATGACAGCTATTATGATGTAATAGGGCGTAAACACATCAAGACCTGATATCGTATATTTGCGTACACTAGGAGAAACGTTAGGTAACTCTCTATACGACGACATTCTTTTTTTTCTGTACTTGATCTTAAAACCTTGTAGTTTACCACTTATTTCTTGAGTATCGGGAACCTTGCAAAACACAAAAATAAGTCAAATTTGCTGTTTGTAAAGCTTAGGTTATATGTGAAAGGGCAAATATAATTTTAGTAAATGTCTAAAGTGATGTGTTCCTATAAGAGGAGCCCCGCATATAATAAATTATAACTACAGTTATCGCTTACAAATATAAATCATGTGACGCGTTACCAGCCCTTACCGTCCATCTTATAACGAGTGACCTGGGAGACTCTGCCATGATCCTGACGTCGCGAGGAGCACCAATTGGAACTATAGAATACAAAATAATAAGTTGTATAAACAAATTAATACGTTCAATTAAAATACGTTTTAAAATCAACTCCTTTTATATTAAATTATGTATATAAAACAATCACTATGTCCTTCAATTAAATTACTAAAATCCAAATCATTCATTTGTTCATCAATATATTTGTCAATTGATCCATTCAATCTTTCATTTATTTATTTTCATTTTTTCACCTGTAGGGTTTGTCGTCACTTCATCTGATGGTGTACTGTATTGACTGTGACCTGCATCATTGGTTGCCATGATACGGAACCTATACCGTGTCCATGGTAACAAGCCTTCTACTTTGAGCGTTCTCAATCTTGCGTCCAGGTTTTTGGAGTAGTATAACCAGCCTCGATTGTTTGCGTTGAATTGGAGGGTGAAATATCGGTAAGGACTCAAGGGGTATTCATTGATTCTCCATTCTATCGTAACGGATCGTTCACCGATGGATGCGGTAGGAATAGGAAAAATGAACGGKGTGTCTGGAGGGAATGCTGTAAACAAGAAAACATCCATTATAAATACTTGGAGTTAACATATCATAAAATGTAAAAGTCAATTTATAATAGTTACAATCACAAAATCGACTGGGTTTCTCATCAAGAGTCTGATTACTGCCCACGACTCATTTGATAATCCGCCAGAATGTGATGCTAGTAACGCAAGACACTATTGACTGTTTATTTACCATTCTGATTCGTGGTAAAAACCATTTGCTCGGCTCCAGGGCCCCATCCTTTTTTTGTTTTTGCCCAAACGAAAAACCTGTAAAATGTGTTTACAGCCAGTCCCAGGAACACATCCTCTCGCCTTGAAGCTGGTAGATTGGGGTCGTCATACAGATATGAACCCGAGCTCTGATTACGCTGATACGCTACACGATACCCCGTTATATTACCATGGGGATATATAGGGGCACTCCAATGCATTTTGACMGAGTCTTTCTCGACATGTGAGAAGCGAACTCGAGATGGTGGACCKGGTACTAAGACAAAAACAGAAAATAGTGAAGGAATAAACAGCTTATCTTTAGTAACGATACAAAGTCATTAATGTCAACGTTTAAAATCCGTTTAACTGGTTTCCAGTCTCCTTACCAGACTCCAGGGTCTTAGCTCTTACTRTGCTACTCTTAGGTCCCAGTCCTTTTATGGTATACGCCAAGATCTCAAACTCGTAGACAACAGAACTTCTCAAATTCGATAGGATTAAGGAGTAAGTAGAGCCGTCCGGAACCCTTGTCATGGTTTCGAGAGTTTGTCCTGCAATCCGCTGGTAAATCTAGAAAATAACAAGCCATATATTACCCATGTGGGATATGCTTTGTTGACATATAAACGCATGCGCAAACAGGGRTAAATAAAGCACGATTGACAACACGATTTGACAACTTAGTATGATAAAAAAATGAAAATCAACTTAAATTTGTAAACATTTTTCAAGTCTCCAAGCTTGAAATTGAGCCATTAAACATGATACCAAGTGCAGTGGCAAGGAGCCAACACAAACTACTTTGGCTGGGTTAATTCTATTCTATACTCACCTGATAGCCAATAATTTTGCCATATCGTCCAACAGCGGTTACTGCACCCCAAGTTAATCTGATAGCTTTAGAGCCCAGAACTTTGGTGCGGACATTAGTTGGGGGACTGACTGGTGCTATGGAATAAACGGTAAGAAGATATAAACAAAGGGAAGAAGAAATAATATCATTATAGTTCATTATTTTAGATCAACTTACCTCCCTCAGATGTCGTGTAGAACACTTCAGTGCTAGTATTACTCTCTCCATTTCCGTTAAGACTGTACGATTTGATTGATATTTTGTAATTAGCGTTCATCAAAAGTCCCGCCACATCGTATTTACTTTGGAATGAGTTTGCAATCTGTGCAGTTGTGATGTGTAGCGAAGAGCTTGATGGCACACAAGCAATTCTGTATCCAATAGCGTCGCTATTCCACGAGTCTTGTGGAGGAATCTGAGAAAGATAGCATTGATGTCAGGAATGTTTCTATACATCTTAGCGAAAACATTTAAGTTGTTGCTCCTGGTTTAACACAGTCATAGAAGGAAAACATGTTGTGAATCTTCGTCTGCAATACTGAAGATTCCATTAAAGTGTATGAGCGCATTTATGAATATATTGCTATATTAGTGTTATAGGTATTTCTAATAACCTTCCATCGTAGTTCTACTTTTCCTGGGTCGGATGTTGAATGCACGGTGAGATCACTTGGTGGTAGTGACGGCGCTGGAAAAAAGAAAAAAAAAAAAAACGATCATGGATTAATCGTGAAGCTAATCTGTGCGGACTATGTTATGATAGTGACAATAGCGTCGTTGACCGGTAATCATATCGTTTTTAGTGCGTTTTAAAATTTCTAGTATGACTTAACGATGCGTTACCTGTCTCGAGCGTCATAACTTTGTCTGACACGTTACTAGGTGGACTACTGCCAACAACATTAGAAGCAATCACCCTAAACCGATATCCTGTATTGGGTTTTAGATTAGGTACAACTAAAGGAAACAACTGGTAAACTCTATGTGCATCTTTGACAATCAGGCCGATCTTCCAAATTGCMGTCACTGGATCAAAGAATGAGTCGTCATTGTATTGGATTTTGTATTCTTTGATTGGAGCACGTCCTGAGAACCCTGGGGACCAGCGAAGTAGAATCTTCCAGGCTCTTGCTTCCACTATTTGGAGCTTAGATGGCGCATMTGGTTTAACTGTCAAAGTAAAGATACAAATACAGTTCAGACATACATGAAACGAAGCGGGTTCAATCCAAGCTGGTCATTTGATACCTGGAGAGTCAACGGTTTTTACATTCAGCATACTAGAACTCCCTTTCCCAGCTTGAGTCTCTGCAGCAACAGCTACAGTGTAMAGAGTTCTTGGTTTAAGCCCGGTTGGAACGTAAGCAAGTGTTGTATGAGACGTTCGATGTGTTTTCGTAGTTAGAGACTTCGAATCGTTTTGCCACCATTCGACGACATACGCTACAAGCTGACCGTTGACTTGGGAAGGCTGACTCCAGCTGACGCGAAACCCATCCGAGAAGATCTCCGAGATACTCATTGAAGACACTGCATCGGGGACTGGGAATGATATTATCATAATTAGCAATGTTGACTGACAAGTACAGCAAAGTATTAGCATCATCATTTTACCCCTGCACCATTATGAAGACCAACAAGGACAACCTTATTATGAAGTGCTTACCATCTTGTTGAGTTTTGACCAATAGTTTATCAGTTGGAGGTCCAGCGCCTGCTCCATTTACAGCTACAACGACCAGCTGGTACTGAGTGTATTTCTTGAGCTGTGATAAGGTTCCTTTTTGAAGAGATTTACTACTGTCATGGCTTGCACTCTGTTCTGTTACTACATTGGGTTTACTTGGCTCCCATGCTCGCATCTACAGAAGACATAGTATTGTGAACACWTATAAACAGAKATAGCCTTGCAATGAGCTTCGTCATCACCATCCTTATTGTKTATCCAAAATATGCGATAGTTTCTGGTTAAGAACTACCTATAAAAGAGCTATTAACAAATGAATATGCACCAGAGTACCTGATAATATTTGAGATTTCCATTCCATTGTTTCTGTGGAGGWGGTTSCCATTGCAGTTCAACAGAGCTTGGATTTATGGTAACAATCTTGAGGTTTTGGACTGGTGCACCAGGAGCTACACAAGAAAGAAAAAAMCCAACGTACTATTAATGCTATACTAAATATAAAAGACACAGGTAATACACACCTCCTTCTCCAGTCATCAACAGCACCACAGAACTAAACGGTCCAGATCCTGCCTTATTTTTTGCCTGGACTTTAATTTCATACTCAGTCCATCGCAGTAGCCCTGTGATGGTACCCTGTGTGGCCAGGCCATTATCTATTTTTTTAATGCTAAACGGGCTGCCCTGGATTCCAGACTGACGATAAGCGATACGAAAACCTTTCAGGACACCGTTATGGGTGTCAGATGGTGGAATCTGAAACCAAAATSACCGATTGATTGAATGATTTATTCGTTAAATGATGTGTTGATTGATTGAACGATTTACTGATTGGTATTCTTGGCGTAATAACGTGAAAAAAACGGTAAAAAGTTAAAAACACGGGAGGATATCAGAGGTTATCGTTTACGTTTTCAGACGTGAATCAGAAATAATAGCGCAATACCTTCCACCGGACGAGTATGGACTCAGCACTAGCAGGCGTACCAACAACATTGGAGGGAGCCTGAGACGGAGCTAAAAGAGAACAAGAGTCAATTGGTTGAGTTTAACTAACAATAAGTGATATAACTTTAACTTACGAGCTTCATTAGTGGTTATAAATGCTGTGGCGTCACTAGCAAGACCAACCCCCACGCCATTGACAGCACGGACACGGAACTTGTAACGTGTGTTAGGCTTGAGACCTAAGAACAGAAAAACAGACGAGATGCAGTTAATCTGACGCATTGTTTTGATTGGCTGTGTTGGATATGGGATAACACCTAAATATGGACAAAAACGTTGACTGCTTCGTCACAAATAAAAACTCTTAATAGCTGAGCACTCTTGTGGCAGAATGACATTGATAAAGAAGCTAATCCTAGCCCGAACTTCACAGACCGAATCTAGGGGACTTAGTATGGAAGTTGCAGCCACCCTTCACAATTCCTCACCAATTATTGCACAATTAGAGTGTGAAATACACTCTTTAGCAATCATATTAACAGTTCTAAACCAAGTCCATGCTACAACTCTCTTGCTTGGATACCAACCTGTCAAAACCGCTGATACTTTGGAAGAAGGATTAATATTTTGAAGAGCAAGTTTCCAGCTTTCGGATTCTTTCTGGTTCTCGACATTGTATGATATAATGGGGCTGTTGCCATCGTAACCAGGRGGATCCCATGTTAAACGAACCGAGATTGCCTCGATAGTGACAACAACAGGTCTTGACGGACTTTTAGGAGTTTCTAGAGAGAGGATATGTTTCGGGTTAATATTAGCAAATCATTCTAATGTCAAAGTTTGTTATCATTATCATATTCATTACTGATATGTGAAAGTGGTTGGTGTGGAGGGACCACGTGGTTATTAGCAATCAATGATTAMGTACCTTGTACAACRAGCCGCCCACTTGTCGTCCCATTTCCATGTATAGAATTCACAACACATGTGTACWTCCCGGCATCTGATTCTTGGACACGTGATATGTATAACGAGCCATTCRATAGAACTTTAATACGTTGATCATCTATTAACGCATCATCTTTGGTCCATTTGAAAGTCAGTGTGATACGACTGTCATGGGAGACGCCGAAATTGAGTGTTTTGGGATAGCCCTTGATGGCTGGGATAGTGYTTGGCAATGGAGAAGTGATATTAGTGATACCTGGTCAAGGGAAAGAATCGTATTAGTCATTGAGTGGCAATGTGTTATAGAATGGGTATCTACATTTGTGATGATGTAATCATACAACACATGTACATCATGATCACGCCTTGATTTACATACACGACCTGGTTCAAGTAATTGATCACACTACAGTATAGGACAGTTRTAGGAAACATACTTACTCAGTACTTTGAGTTCAGCACTAGCATTCCTATAACTTCCTTGTGAAGTTGCTATACAAGTGTATGTTCCTGTGTCAGACCTCTGCGTGTTTGTAATTTGTAATGATCCTGAAGCTTTGAGTTTAAACCTTGACCCACTGGCAAAGAAACCTATTAAGATTCCATCTTTCTTCCAGTTAATAGATGGTGTCACACTGCCCCTTGCCTGACAAGGTAGTTCAATGGTCTTGCCTACAGTTACTATACGGTCTCTAGGTGGTACATCAATCCATACTGGGCCGCCTAGAGGGTGATGAACAATGAAATAATTTACGACTTCTGTCTACAATACCATGCCATCCATCACAACCACTGCATTCATAATTATTACAATCATCCAACTGTTTCTACATATAGATGATCATATAGATAATGACTGTCCAGTATCAACCAATATTAGTATTTCTATTAGGTCATGATTCAAATGCAACTAAATTTAACATTTGAACAAATKTCATATGTCCAGTGGCAGAGAGCATGAGCATGAGCACTGAATCTCACCTGGCAGCGACCCCAAAACTGATTCTAGAATGCAACATAATTACACAAGCTACACTGGAGCATGTTTTGTATTTTGTGCAGTTGGAATCTACTCTATTTACACCATCTCTAAACATTTAGATTCAAGCAAACTTCATTGAAGATCTTACCTTGAACAGAGAGTTTAGCTGATCCGATAAGGTAACCAGCATCATTTGCTGCAACACACTGTACAACACCACCATCTGTATCTAGAAGAGAACTAATAGTCAGCTCATTGYTGTTGGTATTAATGGTYTTCCTGGAACYGCTGCCCTGGATTACTGGTACACCATTGTGATACCATGTGTATTTAGGCATTGGGGTTCCTGTGGCAAGACAGCTGAATGTCACCGAGTTTGCAATCTTGGCTGTGGCATTGGTTGGGATTTGACTCCATGTTGGGGCAACTGGAATTGATAAATAAATTTCAATATTTTAGTTGTGATTGACAGTATATTTTATAGTTTTCTATTGAGAGAGGGGACAAGACCACTACTTACCATGAACAACAAGTGCTGCTGTTCTTTTTCCAGCTCCATCACTCTTTGGATTACTGACATGACATGAATATGTTCCTCCGTCGCTTGACACTATGTTTTTGACTGTCAGTCTCTTGTCATAGTCTTTTATGTCATACTTTGAGTTACTYGAGATAACTTGGTCATCTTTTTTCCATGTTATTGATGGTAGTGGCCTGAAAAGCAATGAAATCCTTGTCAAAACATTCTTATAGAAGAAGACATTGGTTTTGAGTACTTACAGTCCAGTGGCAAAACATTCAAAGGTCACATTCTGCTGTTTGTTGTGAACAGCGACTTTGTCAGATGGGCCWAGTAATATTGTTGATTTAACTGAACTTGGTTGTTGAGCATCTACATTGAGATACAGAAAATAAGGCTACCATTAAAAGTACAAACACAATCAAATCACTAAATATACATTATCCATATTCTCATTCACAGATCAACCAGGAAGCTTAAGATTYTGGCTTATTTCTCTCCATCTCAAGAGTTTTTTCTGCAATGACCCTGGACATGTRACTAGTGCTCTTGAATGATGGTAAAAACCTCRCAATACYGRWRGTAAAAGGTAAGTTCTACACCATAAAGAAGCGATTCCTACTARTGAGCTAATCCCATCTAAAGCAAAACTAAAAATGTATTTCAATACTTACRCTGTAACTGGATATCCAAATCAGGTCTTGAATACTGTGTAGATGTAACAGAATTCCTAACTATTGATTTGTAAACTCCCAAGTCAGCAATCTGTATGTTGGCTATGTATAAATTTCCRGTATCTGAGATACTAATTCGGTCATTTTCTGTTATTGACACACCAGAACGTGTAAAGGAATATGAGGTCTTGGGATGATCAGGGAAGGTGTCCGTAAGTGAAAATGTGTTTTTAAAACCTGAGTGCTGTCGGACTGTTCTTGTAACTGATCTTGAGCTGTTTGGATCTGTTAGATCTATTATTTTTAATAGCAAATGTTTGATTATTAATTTAAAGTTTTGACAAACAAATTTCACAAGGTTGATACATAATTACTTACATGCAACACGTAACTTTGCTCTTTTGGATAAAGCAGTTCCATACTTATTCGTAGCTTTGCAAAAATAGTACCCATCATCCTTTGCATGCTGGGCATTGGTTATGACTAGGCGGCCATCTTGGTGGACWGTGTATCTTGAATCAACATCCAAGTTTTTTGAGACACCTTTTAAGTCTGTTGATATATATGAGTATGTGAAYTGACYAGAGCCGTCAGCCTTACAGTAAAATGTAACAGTTTTTCCTTCTGCAACCAAACCTATACTGTCAGAYGGCGATGTACTCAGATTGTCAGTAAAAGATGGTGGGCTTTCTGTTGAAATAAAGAAATTAATTAAATTGTAAAAAATGTAAATGAGCAAGTCTTTAGCCCAACCAAATTAAAAACTTGTGGTAAATTTTACAAAACAAAACAAGAAACAATTTATAAATAAATTTTAAAAGGTTTCCCAATTCCATCCTTTTACCACCAATATTTTTCTCTTGGAAACATTTCTGTATATATTCAAAAGAAATATGATTACAATCAATACACTTTATTTTTTATTGAAATTAAATTGTCACATTATTAAGTTATCRTCTAAGCAGTTTATGGATGACCTCTTGACATATTGCACTGACTGGAAAACTAACTAACTCAGAATGGTGACTTTCATGTGCAAACATCAATAATAAAATATTGATTAGAGTTTATTAAGGAGTGGCTACTGCAATGACACAAGATACATGTGCTCGTCTAGACCCTAAAGGAAACTTCATGCTTCATGGATGAGTGATACATATTTGTAACGAGATGTTATCACAACAGTTTATTATCATATACCATGTGCTGATAAAGTTATTGAGCATAACTAATAAACAACGGTTAGCAAGCATGTGCTCAATTACTTTTGCCTGTTTAATGGTTCATGAACACATAGGGTATATAGAACTTAGTGTTTTGTTTTGTGTAGAAAATATAATCAATGCAACCATTAGTCGATTATTMACWGGTAGTTTTAATCATGTCCACTTTGCAAATCAGGACAAGAAATAGAAAAACACATTCAAACTGCACAATTTTACTTTTCAGAGTCAAAAGATATATTCTCTTCTATTTAAAAGCTGTTTTTGATCATGAAATTGTTCATTTGTCATGCATGCATGCCTGCATATGGTTTGTCAAAAACCACACCTAATTTTTTACCCAACAAAAAAATATTTGCATTTCTATACACACTTATATAATTATCAATCTTATGACAACTATAGCAAATGCAAAACACTGCTAGCTTAGCTTTACCCCTACATGCACAGATAATGGAAATTAATGTTCATTCATTGTTGCTATTCTTAGGACTTTTGACAGGTAAATTTCATTCAATRTTTCTATTTTGACATCACAGATGTAATTATGATTCTTGCAAATTTCAGAAATATAAAAACGCAATGAAGATTRCCAACCCTGATAAAATGCATGTTGGCGTGTAAGGATAAGAAAAAGATCATGACACTTGATGTAGTAAACCGGACCTGAACAGACACGAACAAATACTATAAAATATAAGAAATATTGTACAAAAATTATTTCATTTTCCTCACCCACACTTGAAAATAAAAAAATGACTTGAGGTTAATCTAATAATGCAGTAATTCATCGAGAGGTTGGTTTATAGCACATGACTCATAATTGATACCATGACGACCAGCGGTTTTGAAGCCTAAAATTAGTCATCGAGTAACAATCTATCGGAAGCATAATAATGAGAATGCTGCATTTTTTCACCGATAAATCAAAACGGACAAAAAGGSCACAAATTTTGGCATTTTTGGGTTCGGAAATTATCATAAAAAGGAAGAAATACAAGAAAAGGACCTGCAATTTATCCAGACATTGTAATTTGACTCTTGAAAGGGTCCATGAACAATAAAAGCATGGTTTATAATACAAGGGTTATCTTGACTTTCCATGGCCTATAAACGATTTTGTCAATAAAAGCAATTTAGTAAGTTTACAATATTTAGTAAAGGAGTTAGAAGTTCTATAAATTAGTTAGCTGTAGAACAGATCAATYAATCAACTCGGTAAGCGAGACAAGAAAAGAATAGCTTATTGTTTATGAACAATAGCGAGGGTCTTACTGTAAAGGCATCGCAGTTTGAAGAAATTTCTCCATCCAATACTAAAATCAATTTGTGTGCTTAGTCTTGGAGGGAGACTTAGTAGTATACAACGAGTATACAATACGCTGTATTYCGCAAAAGCCACATAAGTAGTACACTCCCTCTCCTTGGGTGAGAATTAAACCACCATATAAACTTACAAGATATCCTACACATTTCCTTTACTTGGGACGGGAAAGGGAAGTTGATTGTTTTTAAAGTTTTCTCTGCAATTGTGACCCGTGCGTGATATTTACTTTAGTCATCAACATCAGGACAAAAAAGTTTCAAACACGAGCAAGCAAGGTTATCCGGATATAGTTCGTTGAAATTGTTGTTTACATTGAGAATATATTCAAAATCCCTCATCAAATCACCCGATTGTGGATAATTAGGTAAACTATTCAATAATTRTATGATATTATTCCTTTTCTGTTCGAAGAATCRTTCAAAACAAATATATTCTAAAACGAAGCAAATGTCTTCTGCAACGCTTGTCCGACTCGAGGTCAAATTACGTTTCCTCGAGTCACGGGAACATKTTATYGTATTCATAAATTGTTATCTTCTTTGAATTTCCAGTCTAGTAATAAACTCACCTTTAGTTCTAACTMCCAAAATCAGTAAAGATATAGTAAAAAGCAGTGTGATCAACCGCGGCATYTTCGAATCCCTTCACTTGTTGATAAAGTCCGCCAAGCTACTRGCCATCCATACTCGTTCTCTGACAGTAGATCTTGGTCCTCCTTGCAAATGTTCCTCTATTTTTTTCTCAGATCATAGAAACATCCTTAAGAAAACACCACAATGTCGTGACGCAGTTTTCTACTCGCATAAAATGACCTCTACATCAAGGACTTCGTAGTGAGCAGTTTAGTTCGGGCTGTTTTTAGCCCCGTGGAAATAATAATCTTAGCCGATCACAGCAACCTTTACGTATAGATGTATTACCTATAGATGTAAGTCGATAATAAGGTCTACATTGATCGCAAATATCACCTTTTYTTCCAGACTATTTGTATTTTTGAGTGTTTGTCAGTCCAAACTTCGTAAAGTTTGACGAGCGAACTGATCAACATGAGCAAAATCAATAGAGCGCGAAAGAAACCACGTGAYGGCCATGRAGTCTTTTGATTGGCTCTCTTGTTTTGACTTCAAAGTCAGTCAGCTGGGAAGAACCTTTKAGTACATTTCCATAAATCAAAACCATTTACAAAAGAGCACAAAGCTATAACTGTTMGAATATTTAGTTTCTYRCAGCGTAGGAATTCTGTTGATAWKTACTCSTCAAAATAACCCAACAAAAGGTTTTTCTAGTATATTTTTCGATTTGTAAAAATACGATAACTGCTTGTAGCTAGTCGTTATTGTACTTATAGTGGTCTATTAAGGGCTAGTTCACACGAGCGAATCATAATAGTTTACGACCTTGGCTTTCAAAACTTTCAAAAGTTTGAAAACAACAAAGAAAAATACTAATTTGAATGTCCTAACATTAAGAGAAATGATTACACTATATGAGATTACTAAAGAAATAAAAAAATAAAAATCAGACGTGGAGCTCTTGAACTGACACTGATATTAATATATGCCATTATCCCTTGTTTGTCGTTAACGATAACCCTTTCAATACAATTAATTGCCTTTTTGTCAAAACATCAACGCCAACCTYGATTAACTCTAAAGCAAAAGGGGACTGAGGTTGGCACAATATCGCATGGAATTTCGTACAGCGTATTTTCGTTTTTTTCTTGGACGAAACTACAGGGATCCAATTTATAACTCCAGCATCTCTTTCTGTGAATTCTTGATAATTTCGTCAGTGCGTTGCGTAATCATATGACCCTTGCATGTGGGCATATKCGACACAGCATGTTTGTTATTAACAGTAGCATCTCTTGGTCTGTGACAGTGCATGTCAGTGAAAACCAACAGTTGTAAACAATTCGTATTGAAGCATTTACAATACTTTGAAATAAAACGCACGATTTCTCAACAATATCGATATGATCTTTTAAAAGTCAGGTCCATTTGTGTTAAGATGTATTTTCCGCGTAGCTAATGGATAGCCCCAAGCCTCGTCGACTATAAGATCATATGCGGTCCAATTAATGCAGTACCGTACGTTAACACACTAAAATTGTAAGATGATTTGACGCCCAAAGGAATTGCTGAAAAAATACAATATCTTCATTGCACTGAA